AAAAAAAAAAAACAAATTACATAGAAAAAACTCCACCAAGACCACTTTTTCAAGAGAAATTTCTTAATGAAACTAATATAAGGACTTTGTTTTTTCAACTTGAAAACAAAGCATTCATGGTACTTTATACTTGCATTTTAATTAATAAAGCTTTTAGTAACAAAACAAATGGATTAAAGTTCTGTTTAAGAGAATTTTCACATTGAAAGAGAGTCAATACATTTCCCAAATAACCTCTAAAATTTAATTGTTGAAAAATGAAAACCTTTTAAACTTTACACTTAACCAAATGAAATTTATGGCTAAAAAAGTAAAGAACTAAAGAGAAAACAAGATTAAACATGTATTTAATATATCAATTTCAGCCATAAAATATGAAAATAAAATTGATCAAAGAGAATTGAAAAGCAATCAAATCAAACTTGTGACAGATTGCAAGAATCAAAGGAAGAATTAGATGAAAGAAAATTGATGAAACTTCAAACAACAAACAAAATGCCCTCAACAATGAAAGAGAGAAATCATAGATGAAAAGAAATCACACATGAAGAAAGATAAATCATAGGGATTATATTTGATGGAGGGGATGAAATAGGGAAAAGGAAGGTAGAGTGTCAAACGAGGATGGTGAAGGAAAACTAGGGAAAATAAGAAAACGGCACCGTTTTAATATTCAATTCCACCCAAAAATTTAAAATACCGACTGCAAACCATTTTACGCATAAGTTGCGTAAGAAATAAGAAAGAAATGGGAGGGTGGTTCTTCAAAGCCAGAAGGCACTATGAAGTTTGAACCGCCACTTCGATGCTCCCACTAAAGCACCAAACCATTGGTGCTCCACAACTTGAGTAGATTTTTTTAAAAAAAAAGTTTTAAATAAAAATTTATTATATAATTTAAATTATATTAAATTATACAATAAAAGTTCTTAAATAAAAATTAACTCTTAAATATAAAAGGTCCGTTTCGTTGAATGATGTATTTTTTATAATTTAATATAATTAAAATTATAAAATAAAATATATTTATAGTTATACTTATTAATTGATATAATAAATGAATTGATGGTAGACTACAAAAACGAAGTCAACATTTAAAACTCCATTAAAAAATGACACGATTGCCTTGCTCAGAAGGGCGTTTTCTTGGTAGGGTAAGTTTCTTGAAAGTTGTTGGGAATATTTTGGCAGAAAATTTGTAATTTTTGTAAAGAAATTTCATTTCAATGGTTTACTTTTCCATGTTTAAGTCAACTTTCATTCAAACAATAGCTTGAACAATTTGTTCTCTACTAAACTCCTTTTTTTTTTTTTTTTTTTATCATTTAACTTGTAAAACAATCCTTTCCCGTCACATAACTCATTTCACATACATGTTAAGTAATTTAAATTTAAATTTTTTTTAGTAAAAAAAATATTATTAAATTACTTTTAATTGTACTCTACTAACTTACCAAACTTAATTTAGGATCAAATTGAAGGGTTTAAACTATTGTAATACCACAATTTTGGATGTTATGTTAAATGACAAAGTGGTTACAAAGGGGTTTGAGAAGGAGTTAAATATCATATTTTTTTATATATTAAATAATAAATTATATAATCAAAAATAATTTTTAAAAATTTTTAATTTTTTTATTGTCTCAATGTTCAAATTCTAAATTTTTAACTTAAAATTTTAAAATTTTAACTATTTAAAATACCTTTAAAGGGAGCAAAAGATAATATATACAAAAACTGGGTAGAAGGCATTGCCAAGTTATTGCTCCGACTCATTCCTCCACCGGTGGAAACTAAAATACCGCAGCAAAACAAAATGTCGTTGTCGTTGAATTGTTAACGTATGTAACACCCTCCCTTTAAAAATCCCTCAAATACAGACTGAACCTCAGATCTAATTTTGTTCCCTCGGTAGATCTGCAAATCCCTTCAGATCTACGCCAAACTCCGGCTATCCATGGCTCTCCTCCGGCTGCTTCCTCTGTTTCTTTCCCTCTTTGTTTCTCTCTCCGTCGCCGAGATCCGGTTCTCAGAGATCCGCTCCGACAGCCGTCCCATAATCCCTTTCGATAAGTTTGGCTTCACCCACGCCGGACGTCTCGAGCTCAACGTCTCCAACATCGACCTCTTGAATCGTAAACCGGAGCTCGATCTTTCCAAGGTCGGGTTCTTCCTCTGCACCAACGATGCGTGGCTGCACGTGCTCCAGCAACTCGAAGAAGGCGATCTCTCGTGCGCTCTCCAATCCGATCTCGTCAAGCTGGTGTTGACCTTCAAGTCGCTCAACGGTAAGAAGAGTTTTAATAAATTCTATCAAGAAAATGATGCTGATCAGTACACCCTTGTGTTCGCTAACTGCCTCAGTCAGGTCAAAGTATCTATGACCATCCGATCGGCGATGTACAATCTTGATGGGAAAACTAAACGCCCGGATTATCTCTCTGCCGGCAAGACAGTTCTGCCTAGGGTTTATTTTCTACTTTCACTAGTTTATTTCGGTCTCGCAGGGCTTTGGATCTATGTCTTGTATAAGAAACGACTCACTGTTTTTAGAATTCACTTCTTTATGCTTGCTGTGGTTATCTTGAAAGCCCTGAATCTCTTATGTGAAGCAGAGGATAAATCCTACATTAAGCGAACTGGAAGCGCTCATGGGTGGGATGTGTTGTTCTATATTTTCAGTTTCCTGAAGGGAATCACGCTGTTTACCTTGATTGTTTTGATCGGTACTGGGTGGTCGTTTTTGAAACCTTATCTGCAGGACAAGGAGAAGAAGGTGTTGATGATTGTGATTCCCCTTCAGGTTGTGGCAAATATTGCTCAGGTTGTAATAGATGAGACCGGGCCATTTGGGCAGGACTGGATCACATGGAAGCAGGTGTTTTTGCTGGTCGATGTTGTGTGTTGTTGTGCAGTGTTGTTCCCAATTGTTTGGTCAATTAAGAACTTGCGTGAGGCTGCCAGAACAGATGGGAAGGCTGCCGTCAATTTGATGAAGTTGACCCTGTTCAGGCAGTACTACATTGTGGTCATCTGTTATATTTACTTCACTCGGGTTGTGGTGTATGCTTTGGAGACAATTACCTCCTATAAGTATCTTTGGACTAGTGAGGTTGCTGAGGAGCTGGCAACACTTGCATTTTATTTGTTCACTGGGTATAAGTTCAAGCCTGAGGCGCATAACCCATACTTTGTCATTGATGATGAGGAAGAAGAGGCTGCAGCAGAGCAGTTGAAGCTTGAGGATGAGTTTGAGTTGTGAGTTACTTGTGCACCTTGTTCGGAGATGGTGAATGATTGAAGAAGGTGATCAAAATTGAGATACCGAGGGTAGAAACCTGATTGTTACAATGGATACGGCTTGTTCAATTTCATGTGTATAGGCACAAACCATGATAGTCCTCTGTGTGTGTCTTACCTATTTTCTTTTCTCCTTAAAAGTGTTGTGCGCAGACTTTACTTTTTGTAGTGGTAGGATAATTTCTTATAATGTGAATTGATTAGTATGTGTAACTAGTGATACTAAATCCTTTTAGTTACTCTTCTTCTCAAATTCCTGTGGTTTTATTTGCTAATTGTGGTGATTTTTGATTGAGCATTGTAGTTCTAATATTCTATGCTACTCTTTATAACTTCCAAAGAGATTTGCCTTTAACTGGCACATTTGTTCTTAACTAATAAATTTATGTGTTTTAGCTGTGGTAAGTACCATACACTGATTTGAAATGAAGGCTTCATTGATTTGTAACATAAAACTAATATGGAGTTGAAGATTCTCTTTACAAAGTTTGGTCTTCAAATAGTTGAAGAATGTTCTATAAGTTGTCACACTTGGAAAGTAATCAAGATCTGTTACTTGTGAAGCACTTTAGAGGATGACAGATGTTGTCCATGAGAATCAATCTTGATATGATCTTAATCAAAGAAAAAAGAAAAAAACTTAGATCTTAACTGAGAGTTTTCCCTGAGAACCTACTTCATCATTTTCACATTGCAAAATGTGTTCTACATCTGTTTCCAGTGAATGTGGGCAAGTTATATATGGAATATGATGTCTGGTTTAAAAAGCAATTTTGTATATTTCTTTATTTTTATTATTTTTATCAATTTTCAAGGTGAAGTGGCTTGCTTTCCACCAATTGCAAGGTGCAAGCTTTTTGTTAAAATTTGAATGAGACTCATGCTTCTATCTAAAGTTTGGTTCACTTTTTGCCTGCTTATGAAAAGGGATTCCTATGCTCTGCTTGGTTGTATGGATAAAGCACTCACCTTCTTATGTTTGAGGGCAGTTTTGTTTGGTTGGCTACCGTCAGCAGCAACTTAGTTGAGCTCAACTGATACGTGAACCTGATGTAAAAGCACCATTATATCGGACAAGTGGTCTGTCATGTTTCCTTATGCTATTGGAAGCTACCTTTTATATTTATAAAGCATCTCGCTGTTGGAGAAGTGTAATTGGCAAAGGTTGTTTGAAATTGAACTCTCTCTGTTATTTTTTCCTTTTTGTGAGGAATTTGAGTAAAATAATATGTTTGATGCAGAAGGGAACTCCATCTCATATGGCTACAAGATTTGTGTCAATCTAATCCATAAGCATTTGAAGTGTCTGAAGTATTGAATGTGGATTCATTATGATAAAGTGAAAAATCCATTTATTGTAGGTGCTGGGTATGTGATGAATTGTTGTTTACTTGTTTTTGATATTTTTAGTTCATGTCTTGTGGATTTACTAGCTGTCTGAAGATTACATGCTGAATATGTTAATCTGGAATTTTTTTTCTTCAGCAAATAGGTAATTTGATGGTCACTATGACGTGTTGCAGTTTGCCATATAAAGTCTTTTTCTTGGTTTTTGTTTTCTCAAGTCATGGTGTTCCTATTCTTTCTCTAAAACAGTTTTGTAGTAGCATTAACGGCTGCTATGTTTTTTCAGTAGATGAATGAAGTGTACATTTCATCTAGAAAAAATTTCTTTTCTGGGTGAATTCCCCTTTTTTTCTTTTTTTTTTTTCTTTTTTTTCTGATTTTTGGTTACAATTGATTTTGGTGGCATAATTTTGATTCTTTTTATTCTCTTTATTCTCATGTCTATTTTGAAAATGGATCTTAGAATATAGAATTCTTATTTTGCTAAGATCTAGTCACAAATACCTTCTTCTCATGTGAAGTTTGAGGTGTTGCTGTTTGAGGTTAGGTTATTGCCTTTCCTGTCTTAGTTTATGCGTATAAGTGATCTTCTCAACCTGAAATCTGATGTTGGGGAACAGTTCAAATTGCTTATAGAAATTCTCTCAGACAACTTGTCATGGCTACGTGAATGCATCCAATGCCTTCCTAATAATTCTAAAAAGTAGAGCATTGTTCTCAGTCATGCTTTTATTCTCCCTATACAGGGTCATAGTAACTGTTTATCTTGTGTACAAACCTCTTGCCTTATGCAGTGGTTGTTTTCCTCCTCTTCTATGTTAGTAGCTAAAAGAAGGTGGAAACGGGAATGAAGTCATACATGTAGTTTGCAAAATGTATATAAAATGTTACATTATTTTATCTAATTAGCTTTTGGAAGTAATTAGGCAGGAATTGCAGCTATATTCTGCTCTTGATTTACAGTGGAATAGAATCTAACAACTTTAAGCTAAATGCTTTAGATGCCTCTTGCACCATTATCACCATAGTGAAAACGTATGCTTTGGTAGTTTTTGGCAATGCTAAATGGAGAAGTCAAGCTAGCAAGGTTATCCGAAATTGCAAGTACTCTTTGTTAATGTTCAATACATGATATTTAAACTATCTGAGATAAAATTTTTGTTAACAACCTTGTAGAGCATAGAATTTTAGCAAATAAGAAGTGTATTAATCGACACCGCGACTGTTGCTAGTCTATGCCTTTCAACTACTTTTGGATCATCTACTGGGTCAACAGTATGCTTTTTTCTAAGCTTGTGGAATTGATATGTGATTGGTGATGAGGTGAAAAGGAAACTTGATCTCATTCTTCAAAGAGTTGGTAAGTATGACTACTCATTCACCAAAATGGTAGGTATATGGACACAATATTTCTTGAATTGATCTACTGCTGGATGGTTGGCTGTCTCTCTGTCATCACTAGGATAGCATCTGGAAAGTTATATCTTTGTAGTCTGCATTGTAATGGGAGTTCAGATATTGCCTCTGAATCCTAAGTTACAGTTTTGTATATTGTTTCTAGGTAACATATGCTGGGATTTAATTAACTCTTTGTTAATTTTCAGTCTTTTCCCTGTGAAGTGTTTGCTTGTAGACTAAATCAAGTTAATCATATTATTGATTCTATCAAGGGCCTTATAAACATTGGCACGTAGACTGGAACAGATAATAATCATTCAGGACTCCAGGTCTCACATAATCTCATTGTTTCTGACTGCTTTTGTTTTATGTCATTGTAAGTTTTATTGTTTTCTCTGCTGTGCATCTCCCAGCACTTCCATTAGGGATGAACTGCAAATCTACAGAAAGGGAATAATAAGATTGAAAATAGAAACAATATTTTGTTCTTTTATGGCCGACTAACAGCATATTGATTGATCGCGCGTGGCACAAGTGGTTATTGTTCTTGTGTTTTATGAGAGTCCTAAGTTGAGAGAGAGATATCAGATTGAGTATTTTGTTTCTTGGTTTCTATAAGGTAGCACCGACAGGAAGGGAAGAATGAAGCCAAAAAGGATTTGTTTTCGTCTTTTATCTTGTTCTTTTTCATTTTCATTTTGTTAGGCTACAAAATCAGAAGTATTAAATGGAAAGAACTCACCATTAGTGTTTGTTTAGATAAAAATTAGTAAAAATATTTGTTTAGATAAAAGTTAGTAAAAAAAATGACAGGGAGGGAAGGAAAAGGTGAAGGAGGATTAGTGAAAGGAAAGAAAAAATTAATATTAATTTTGTTTAAATAAATAAAAATGGGGATGAGGAAAGGATAATATCTTTAATTAATTAAATAATTTAAAGATAAATAAAATAAAATAAAATATTTAAATTTTATTAATTAAATAAATAATTAAAATAAAATATATTTAAAAAATAAATAAATATATTGATGTAATCTTATTGCAATTCCTCCAAATCGAAGAAATAAAAAATAAAAAATAAAAAAATGAAGAAGTTTCATCCCTCTCTTGCTCTGTTAAAAAATGGTAATCCAAACAAAAGTAGAAAGTCTCTCCCTCTGTCTCCTTCCCTTCTCCTCTAATTTTTTCCAATTCAAATAGAGAGTATTATATCAAAATTTGTCCTAATTAAGTAATTAATTTTATATAATTTTGATATAGTTAAGACTACATAAATATTTTCGCTTTCTTTATTGTAGAATTTCAAGATTTTTCCTCTGCCATCGGTTGGATTTGCTACTCCATGACGAGATGGTCTGCACTCAATTTGCTTACCAGAAACAGAGCAGAGAAAGAGACAATCCATCACACTGGAGCATTTTTGGAATAGGTGATGGCTGTATAGCCTTTATTTTCACTGCAAAATGGTTATATCGTGCCTTGGCAATTTGACATTGAATGCTAGTCAAATCAATACCATGCTTGTCATTCTAGGTTTTTTTTCATTACATCCTAAAGCTAGCCTCTGTGGAAAACATTATTAGCCCATGTTTTCTTCGCTGGAAATCACACAGTTGAGATGGCCAAGCTTGTCTACAATCTGCTTTATAATTTCCACTTAATTTAACCAGCATGCACTATTCATTTCTTTGATTACTTTTACTGAGGCACTCATTCAGCAACAAACCAAAAGAGTACCCAACAAACCACGTTTCAGCCTAGTTGGTAACTGCTTTGTGTTGTGAAGTGGCATTGGATCCTGAGAGTTCAAGTATAGGTAGGGAATTCCCATTCCTCTTTCCTCTCTTATCAGTTTGGTTGTCAGACATACCATGTTAATTAACATAGATTTCATTAAGACAACCTAGTGGCATTTCTAAATTTGTATAGCATTCTAAATCTGTGGCTCATGTGGATCACTTGGAGATTCAGATGTGTACCATACCAAACGACACAATCACGGAACATAGAAAACAAGTCTCCAAGACAATTCTTCAATAATTAGTAACATGGTTTAATATATCCTTGAAAATCTTGGAGCACTTGTTTGTCCTTTCCAGACTTTTCGCCTAGGATCCCATTTCTGCATGTCGAAGCACATGCACTTCCTCTTTGCATGCCTAACACTACTATTTCCAAAGAAAAAGATGGGTTTCACTTTCACATTCCCCATTTTCATCTCACCGACTGCATTTCCTCTCCGATTTCAAAATGTAGAGATGAGTTGAGATTTTGACTCTTTGTGCTTGAATGAGAGCCAGGTACTTCTGGCGGCAGATATTAATGTTGTTAAATGTAGCAAGCACCACCAACCACATTTACTCCAGGACTTAACCGTTCAGGAATGTGGTCCATCTTGTAATGCCTTTACTTCATCAAACTCCTGGCATGTGCAAAGTTTCATTGTTCTGCAAAGGCAGATCTCAAGTAACTAAAAAATTTTCAGCTGGGTTGCAGGATTACTAAAAAAATGGCATACATCCATGTGAAACCTTTAGAATCATAGCCTATGATGGCTTCTTTTTTTTAATTCATCTATCTTCTTTAACTTTTTAAAGGACTAATTAATTAGCTTTTACTGGGATACCAAGTGGGATTATGATGATGATTATTCCATTTGGTGTCTTTTTCTTAATTTTATACAGGGCGTATCTCCCGCTTTGGGGAGAAGAATTCCTTTTTGAACTGGTTCTTTGTAGACTAAATGTTTTAAACATGTGGGTAAACCCAATCGTATGCTTCTGCTCAGCAACGTTGATGAATCACTTACATAGCAGAAAAACATGTGGATTTTCTTAGCTGGATGATTGCTTAGAAATACAAACTTGGTTTGTTAGTCCTTGAAATCCTTGGACAGGCCCCTATCAAACTATTTTGATTCTGCTTAGCCAATTGATACTCATTGCACTTCTAAATTAATGAAAATTGTATATCAAATTCTCAATATTATTATTTATTATTTTTCAAAATTTTGAATTCAACCAAATACGAGCTGATAGCGTACTGTTTGTTGAAACCACTACTCACCTAGAAACTTTGGGAAAGGAGGAATTGACCCCACTATGGCACTCCCATTTTCCAGAGACAGACATGTCAATTGTGCAACTAGGGAGGGGACCCCTACCCTTTGGATAAGATGTGGAGCAAAACATGTAAATTACCCCTTCAACTTCTCATATGGTGGCAAATCACCCCCTCAACTAGATTCACGCGCAAACTAACCCCTAAACTCATTTACGGTGACAAAACAGCCCTTCTATAACGGATGATGTAATCATTCCGTTAACTTTCCAGCAACAGTTCTGTAGGTGGCATTTTCGTGGATCCCTCCGATGACTTGACTTTTGTTTTAAGGAATGATAGATTTTTTATTATATTAATTAATATTATATATGTTTAAGCGGGAGTATTTTTATTTTAATTAATAATATATTTTTTATTAATTAATACC